CGAGGTCGTCCACGCTCACCGCACCATGCGGAGAGTGACTCTACAATAGTCGTGAGCTAGACTACAGGGTGTTGGCACGAGCTTCTAGGAGTGATCGTAGCTTTGCTTAGCTCCTTAGCACTCGCAAATTCACGGGAGAAATCGGCAAGATTTTCCACTAGCAGAGTTTGAGAATACAGAATGATTGAACTAGCAACACAAGAATGACTACATCAGAGCACCTAGCAACTCTGCAGTTAGCCTGGTCGACTGCCAGCACAGCATGTTCGACAGCCTGCCAGCGTTGCGTAGAGGAGCCACGCCACCACTGCAGAAACGCGACCTGCCAACACAGCAGGTCGGCGGCGTGCCAACGCTGCAGCAGATCGGCTGTCCAGCGTTGAACGCGTAGAAGACAACTGTGTGCATGTCTGCATGTGCGCACAGACGATTGACCCGACTTGCACCGTTCTGCATCCATTGGCCCTAGTCAGCGCTTGACGAGCCACATCAACTTCGGGATACTAGCCTGACGTCGCCTTCGTCATCGCGACCTCGACAACGTTCGCGTGCCTCCGTCGAACTCGCCGAGCAGGTTACCCGGTCAACCTGGTCCACCACCCATTGCTCTGGTCGACGCCTCCCTCGTCGACCACAGCTCGTGTCGAGGAACACCCTGGTCAACGTACCCTCCCCTCGACCAGCACTGTCAGCTGCTCCTCCTGGTCGACAGCCGGTCCGTCGACCAGCTCGGCCAGCTGCAACCGTTGAGCCCCCCTGGTCCACGGCTCCAACCCCGCGACCGTTCTGTCCAGGTCAACGACCACCAGATCAACATGCCCCGGTGAAGAAGGCCGTCGAGCTCCCCTAGTCCACGGCAACATCGCAGTGCTCCCTTACAGCTCGAAGAAGCCGGTCGAGCAACTCCTTCAATGCGTACGGTCGGCTGCTTCTCCCGTGCATCCGAACCAGGACGTCGGCATCACCGAAGCAAGGGCAGGGCCAACACTCCAATCCAGTTAATAGGATCAACAGTTACCGACCCTAGAGTTTGCTTACAACAACGCTTCGCATGCGGCCATAAGAAAAAACACTCATTTCCTCCTGTGCTACTGACGGGAACCACTTACACCACAGCAGCCAACCTCACTGGCACACGTCCAAGCCGCAGACGACTTCGTCACCACCATGCAGCAGCTATGGGAAAAGACTCGGCGACATCTCACCACGATGCAGATCTACCAGAAGTTGTATGCCGATCGACAACGACGTCATCACTCGGTAGTAGTCGGAGATCAGGTGCTCCTCGACATGCGCAACTTGGACTTGTCCCAACTACCATTCAAGCTCCGGCCTCGCTTCTATGGTCCTTTTCACGTTGAGACACAGGTGACACCAGTAACATTCTTCTTGCGCTTACCTACTATGTGGAAGCTTCACGATGCATTCCATGTTAAGCTACTGAAGCCCTACAAGGACCCCAACCAACAGATCCAGGAACGGCAGCTACCGCCACTAGCACCTGTTCCCGTACAGGATGTAAAGTACGAGGCGAAACGCGTTCTCACTCATCGGCGCCGCAGCGGCAAGACCCTCGAGTTCCTGATACGCTGGAAGGGATACGACCCATCTGAGGACAGTTAGGTTGCAGAAGCTGATATGGCCAACGCACGCCGTGCTCTCAAGGATTACCTTGTCAAGCAGGGTGTTTCTCACGCCACCCAACTTTGAAGGGGGGACATGTGAGAGTACGACGGCTTATGCTGGCCTTGCTAGCTTGACGACTGTACAATAGTTTCAGTTTTTTGTGTCAGAACACTTGCACTAGGGATGCCCGATTGATCCTAGGGAAGGGTTACAGGCACGTTGGCCTGGGGGGGTTATAGGGGCACTCACCCGCTACACAAACAAGCCATTTTATCCCAGTGGTCTAGTGACTGGGTTTCTGACATGGTATCAGAGAGGTCTCGGGTTCGAACTCCCATGTGCGCACTTGCTGGCGGGGTCGCTGTGCCGTGTCCTATGGCATCCCAGTGAAAGGGGGTGTCAGAACACTTGCACTCGCGATGCCCGATTGATCCTAGGGAAGGGTGGCGAATATTTGCTGTGTCATACGAAATGTTGTATCTAGGCGAATCTGCAATGGCCACTGACCAGTCAAGCCCGAACCACTTGCATCCAAATGTCAGAAACCCAGTCACTAGAGCCTGGGGGGTTATGGGCGCACTCACCCGCTACACGAACAAGCCTTTTATCAGCACTTCCGATTCTCCCGGTCAGAGCATATTCGCCCTAGCACAAGAAATTTGTCCTGTCACGGATAAGAGATTCGCCCAGACGCACTAGATCTGCTGTGTCAGAGCTGTTCTGTCGAAAATCCCCTCAGCACGCTGCGCCTCGCATGACACCACAAATATCCACCCCACTCCAGCTTCCATGCAAACATCCACCCCACCTTCCCATCTGGGTGATACTTGTCGGTATTACATCAGTTCTGCGTGTGAAAGGGCTCCCTCACATGGGTACAAGTGAAATCATTATAACGCACTGGTGGGATATCAGGACAAATTTTTCTGAAAGCTTCGTCGATAACGTCTCGTTAAGGGTCTACAGGACGCGTAGTCTGTATTGACAAGTTACATAAGAACCAGGCCCTACGATATCAGGAACTTTTCCCTGAAATTCCTGATTTTCAGCCTAGTTTTGTGTACCTACACTGAATTTTCAGTGTTGAGATTTTTGTGACACTGATTTTTTCAGCCTTTACTTCATAGCTAACACTGATGTTTCAGACTTTTATCGAAGTGTACACTGAATGCACATTCCGAATCCTTCCCGTAAAATACCCGAGACAATAAGTCAACCAACATTTCCACATAATAAAATCTTGTGTTAAAAAATACAACTGGCTTAGTGGTTAGCGAAGTAGATACCGATTGGTAAGGTTTCCGGATCGAATCCCTCTACTAACGTGTTCGTAAAGGCTACTCTCTTGCATAATTGCATGATGTGATTGAAAATTCAGGCTTTTGTTTTCCGGAACCCTGAAAACTCAGGCTTTTTTTTTTAGGAACCCTGAAAATTCAGGCTTTTTTTCACAGGGACCCTGATGCATCAATGTCCCTAAAAGTGAATCTGAGGGCCTGATAAGAACACTACACTGAGAGTGTACACAAACTTTCAGGGTCTGCTAATGCAATACTTTGAACGGATCAGGGTTCAAGAGGCTATAAGACTGAAATTACAGGGACCATAAAGTGACAAGTCTGAAATCTCCCTAAAATCATGGTAATTACCCCTGATAAAATCAGCCCTGCTCGCTCTCATACCATGTTGATGTAACAAGGAATTGTGGTGGATAAGATCAGCTAGCGAAGTTTGAGAGTAGACTAGAAGTTTTTGTAATGACCTTCCTGATAATGATCAAAGAGAACAAGATGAATAAGATAGAGATACAAGAGATATAAATAGCAAAACTATCTAGCCATGTACTATGAAAGGTACATTCATTATTAACTGTACTGCATTGCTAAAGTAACCGCAACTATTACCAGGTTGAATTGTGTAACCTCCGAGTACGGTTACAGGGCGGTCAACAGTTCCGATCGTTGACCATCTGCGACTGTTGACCTTCGGGTGACTCTCGAGCTGCCGCTCTATACGCGCTTAATGCGATAGTGGTACAAGTGCTATGCCTCGTTATGAATCGATGCGCTAAAAGAAGCATTCAGGAATGTTAGGGCGTATTCCTACGGCATCATATCAGAAAACCTCGTATCAAGAATGTACCTTTTCCCTGGTAAAACTAGCGAGAGGTTTCGGGTTTAGGGGAATTTTCAGTATGAGCCTGATACGAGGTGTAGGAACACGCTCTTATAATAACCATCGGTTATTCCAACAAATTCTTATGAGATCAACTGGTACAGGGAATGTAGACTTTTGCTGCAACACCTTGGTAACAAATAAACTCAAAAAAATACAAAGGATTTCTCCCAGCCCAACACAAACAATACAAAAGGGCTGTTATTGTTTCTAACAATGGAATTGGTGTGTGAGGTCTCTTAAAGAAACGCTTTTGAAATATTGATATGCATATGCAAGACCAGCAAGTAAGAACGGCACATTTCAACGAAGCGTTTACCAGGTGTCGAAATACAATGGCGGATCCACATTTGGTGTTCAAATTCCGAATTTCAAACCATCGTAGAGTTTTTACGGGTCAGCATACCCAGTACAGAAACTTCCCCGTCCGTTGTTTTTCAAGGTAGTTTTTCTGGCTTGCTGCTGCTTTGTCAGTACCTCACAAACGTGATGAGGTCTAACTACCCAAGATGGACTCACATCGTGACACCACATGGGCTGTGTCACGCCACTAGAACAGGTCGAGAGCCCAAAGCACCGAGTTTTCGGGGACGGGAAGTCACCCTCGTTAAACATGATATTTCAAAACGTTATCACTTCTGCGGTGAGAGATGCGAAACAGAATCAGAACGAAATCAGAGCACAGCAGACCCCAGTTCAACGACTTCGGCTAGAACTCGTTCCCACAACCAAGGTTTCGGGAAAGCTGGGAAAGGTTCCCAAACCTTTGCTTGGTGGCAATGCAAGGCTCCAGCAGCCAAACTTAGCTTGTTGACTTTCTAAGCTGCCATATTCGTCTCTCACAACGTTTGCTTTTTTCCGCTCGTTGTAGCTTCCAGACATGGCTCGCTCGCACATTCATAACCTGTCGGACGACCTCCTTATACATATTTTATGGCACTCTGAGAAGCCTATATCTTTCCAGCCCGTAGAGGGGCAACACTTCAGCCCCATTCGTGCTGCCTCGGCCAAGGTACAACTCCGAAAACCCGTACGGCGGAGAGCTCAACACCTCCAAAGGCTCTTCAGAGCGAAGCTCGCTTCAACGGAAGAACCATAGTCCGTTGTCAGGTTCTCCCATGCTCACTGACCCGACGTACAATCTCCTCATCGCCTCCATCTGCTCACGCTGGCGTCGCCTGGCTCGTTAGCAGGTGTCCATGCTCGTCGTCAAGGAGAATCGTGCCGTCTCACTCCAGGACCTCACCGCGGCCATTGCGTGCTTCCCGCACCTCACGCACGTGCATCTGAGCGACAACAGCGTGGAGAGCATCAACGACGCCTTCCTCGCTCACCTCGCTTCTTCGTGCCCTAAGCTCGTGTCGCTGCACGTGGGCAAGGAGATTACGAAAATCTGGGACTGGGAAAGGGAGCACGAGCATCCGGTGACCGAGGCTGGGTTGGACCATTTTCTGCGCCGCTGCACTCAGCTGCAGCACCTGTCGCTCTACTGTCTGCATCGATTTGGAAAGCTGCCTGCGTCCCTCTCGTACCTCATGGACCTGCACACTCTGGCTGTGACCCACGGCGCAGCACTTGAAGCGCCGGGATTCACGCACCTATCGTCTCTCGCCACGCTCTCCGTGGACATGTCGGACCAGGAGGAGCTGGATCTCTCCAGCCTCGAGCACCTGCCAGCGTTCGCCAAACTCTCTCTGTGCGGTGAAACGGAGCTCGTTCTCGAAGGCGAGGACGCGTATCCCGTCTCGTTCGCCCACATACCTTTCCTTGAGTCGCTGGAATTCAACTACAGCACTCCACGGTTCGACCTGCTGTTTCCGCCAGGAGTTTCGTGCAGCCGTCTCGAGCGGCTGCTTCTCAGCTGCTCCGACAAGCTCGAGCGCCTCCCTGACGACATCGGAAAGCGGCTGCCACGCCTTCGGGAGTTGAGCATCTGCGCCTCCCCTGATCTATCCGAGCTGCCTCATCACTTCTCTTCCCTCAGCTGCCTCCTGAAGCTGACAATCTCCGAGGTCAACGTGGTCAGCCTACCTAAAAGCTTTGGAAGGCTGCCCGTTTTGAGAGAGTTGTCGATGCAGCAAGTGCTCATCTCAGGTCTGCCGGACTCTTTCTCTCAGCTCTCAACGCTGGAGGTCTTGAATCTGGTTGACTGCCGTTCAATGGCGGCGTTGCCTGCAAGGTTCGGCAGCCTCCATGCACTCAAGTCCCTCTGCATCGCCAACTCGCCGAAGCTGGGTCTTCCGGAAGACATAGGAGGGCTCACCGACCTTCACACTCTCCGAGTGACTCTAAATCGCGTACAAGAGCTGCTGCCGTGCTCGTTCACGCAGCTCAAGTCACTGACAAGGCTCGAGCTCACCCAGTGTGGCATGTTAGAGGAGCTTCCAGAGGGCGTGGGGTGGCTGAGTAACTTACGCGAGCTAAGCATCCGGGCATGCCCTAAGATCCAGAAGCTTCCAGAAACTATTACTAGCCTTGCAAGCCTTGAGGTTTTTTGAGAGTTGACGGCTGCAGCAGGCTCTCTTCCATTCCCGGGAGTTTGAGCAGCCTTGCAAGGCTGATAGAGTTGGCCATCGGCAAGTGTACTCAGCTGCCAGAGGTCTCCAAATCCCTGCCACCGTCGCTTGAGACGCTCAGCTTGGGCAGCGTCCAGCGGCTCACCCCTCTCATAGAGCTTCCTGCACTGCCTAGGCTCAGGCATATGAGCTTGACTGGTGTTGCCCTGGTGCGTGGGTTGGTGGCTACCGTGAGTTTGACCTCCCTTGAGCACTTGGAGCTGGCTCTGGCAGGCGAGGCAGAGGAGCTCCCACTCTCCCTGGCGTTCTGCCCTAACCTCCGCACGCTGACCATTCGAAGTGCTGCACGCATGAAGGCACTTCCGGATGATTTTGGATCGGCCTTGCAGCAGCTGAGGCAGCTGCGCGTAGAGCAGGCTGCGGAACTGAGAGGGCTGCCAGACACTCTCACCCAGCTGCACTGGCTGACCTCCCTGGAAGTGCACGCACCCAAGCTGGCTTCGCTTCCAGATGGCATTGGCGCCTTGTCCCGGCTGCGCCAGCTGAATCTGGCCCACTGCGCATCGCTCACACGCCTCCCTTCCTCCCTCACCCGCCTCTCCTGCCTCCACAAGCTTAGCCTTGGCTACACCCCCGTGCGCTCTCTGCCCTGCCACTTCGCCCATATGAGCCGCCTCAAGGCTCTTGACCTGGAATCCTGCAAGCACCTCGAGTCGCTGCCTGACGTTCACCCAGCTGCAGATGCTGCATAGCCTGAATATTTCAAGGTGTGACAAACTGACCACTGAAGGGTGACTTGCTGATGACATTGGATACATGTATGGGCTGTATGTGTCCTGACAGATGAAGTGCTCGCATTCAGTACATGTTCAGTTGCTGCTAGGATAGCGTGGTTTCACTGGAGACGATGCGTTTCGGTGGCATCCTGTAAACTGCTGATGGGAATGGCCATGTACTGAGGGCTACCATTACAAAGCAGTTGCGTAGCAGAGAACACTGCCACTTTTGTAATACCACATTTTTTTCTCTAAAGCATTTAAGTTCATGCTAACAGTTTCTGAAACAAAATCAGAACAGTCAGCAAATACTGGTCCCGCCTCCCCTGGTGGTGTACTGCTCTTCAGTCATGCCCCACTTGTCATGCTACCCCTTCACGTGCTCCTTTCCGTTGGAACCGAGCCAGAGCAAGCGGCACTGCCGACTTCCCTTCCTCCCCTCCTCCGCCCGCCCCTCCCCCTCCCCCCTCCTTGGCACGCACGTCTCTCCGAGTGGCCTCCCTCTTGCTCTCAATGATGTTCATCTTCCTCTTCTTGGCTCGCTTCGACGGCTTGTTCCGCCCCTTGGTCTTGTTCTTCTCCCGAGGCCGCTTCGCCCCATCCTTCCCCTCCTCCTCACCCTCCTCCTCATCCTCCTCATCCCCCTCCTCCTCCCCTCCCCCTCCCCCTCCCCCTCCCCCACCTCCAGCACCTTCCCCACCCTCCTTCCCCCCTCCCTTCCTTTCCCCCCCAGGGCTCTTCCCGAGGCTCTTTGCCCGAGCCGCGGCGTTAGCCTTGGAGACGAGCGCATTGGTGAGAGTGCGCTGGCGGTCGTGGGGGCGGAGGAGGGTGCCGATGCGGTCGGGGTCGCGCATGATGGATTCGGGCGGCAGCTTGTCCAGCAGCATGTGGATCTCCGCCTCGCGCCGCTGCTTCCCCGTCTCAAACGGGTTCGCCACAAACGAGTCAAAGTTCGCCTCGCCTGCCCCGGGCACAAGCAGCGAAGAGAACCCTTCCGCGTGCCCAGCGCCCAAAACGTCCTCGTACGGGCAGAAGGAAAGTCTCTCCACTGCTGCTGCTGCTGTGGTTCCGGCGAAAGTCGCTGCCGCCCCTCCTCCACCACCACTCCTTGTGTTCCTGTTTGCCCCGCTCGACTGAATCCTGAGCTTCAGGTACGGCGTGTGCTGCTTCGCTGTCAGCGCCTCCTTCCACACCTCCACCGCTGACCCGAACCCCACCGCCAGCATGTCGCGCTGACTCAGCGCGACCGTCCTCGCTGGCGTGGGCGAGACGTACGAGTGCAGCTCGCGCAGCGTGCGCACGTCCCACACGCGCACGCGCCCCTCCATGCCCGCCGTCACCAGGTACCTCCCAGACGACGCATCACTCGCAATGGCCGTGAGCGGCGCGTGGTGCGCGAGCAGTGTGGCGAGGGGAGTCCCCATGGAAGGGCTCCAGAGGGAGACGGTGCCGTTGCTGTGGCCCAGGGAGATCACGCCCGTGCGGCTGTCGGCTGTGATGGCGTCGCAGCGCCCCTTGCGCGTCTTGCACTGCGCCACGTGGCGGCCCGTGGTGGTGTCCACGTAGTCCAGAACCCCGCCCTTGGAGATGGACGCCAGCAGCATGTGGTGCGGCAGGTACTGCAGACGCAGCGCCCCGCTGCCCGTGATGTTCTGCGGGGGGTGGGAGAACATGGAGGAGGAAAGAGGAGGGAAGTGGTGGGAAGAGGAGGGACGAGGGAAGATGAGGGAAGAGGAAGAAAGAGGAGGGAGGAGGAGGGTGCGAGGGAAGAGGAGAGAAGAGGAGGGAAGGGAGGGAAGAAGAGAGAAGAGGAAGGAAGAGGAGGAAAGAGGTGGGAAGATGATGGAAGAGGTGGGAAAGAGGAGGGAAGAGGAGCATGTGAGCCAATGAGCAACTTAGTGGGAATATACGCTCAAACCCTAAAGCGTATAGCGTATACACGCTAGCGTGTGTACGCAAAACGCAATACGCTAGCTAATACGCTATACGCTATCAAAAAAATTTTCGGGCTGCCCAGGGAAAAAAATCGCTTGTATACAGAAAGATGCGGAATCTTCTGCTGAGCATTTCGCCTAAGTCGAAATGCAATTTGACGGTCTAGGGAAGCGGGAGTGGGCCTTCGAAGTTGCAGGCAGTTCAAATTTGAACATTAGCTTGGTACCGCATTGGAACCCATATTATCTACGAATTCCAACCTGTCCAAAACGTCCCCCACCAAACCCCACTCACGCTACTTACCAGCCAGCAAAATTCCAGTCGTCATTTCTAGTTGGCATTCCCGCTTTCTAACAGCAGAGCTCCTTCCGATTCCTACCTACTTCTCCTTTTAGTGTCTACTCCACGTCCCACCCCAATCGCCGTTCAGACTTAGGGAAATGCTACGAAAGTCTTAATGAGAATAGGGATCACCTTCTTAATCTTGAGCACGACGTTTTTTTCACCCTGCCCGGGATAGTTTTTTACCTGCCCGAAAAAGCGTATTACCAAATCGACCCTTAAGCGTTTAGCGTATATACGTTCGCGTATATACGATACGCGTATATACGCTATAAGCGTATATTCCCACTAAGATGAGCAAGGGGTGGTGGTGCAGTGCTGCCATGGGACGGCAAGAGGCCTCACGACGTGGGTAAGGGCATGGAGGGTGAAGAAGCGTAAGAGGAGCAAGGGAGGAGTGGGGGGAGCGACGGCGGCGAGCGAAGCATGACAAATGGAAGGTTAGAACACGACAACGGACCTTGAGGCAATGCAGCTCGATTCCCCTCTTGTCGTAAATGAACGTGTACCTGGGGTTAGGGGCGAGGGGCGAGGGGGGAGGGGTGATGGGAAGGGAGAGGTGGGAGGAGGGGGCCGGGGGAAGAGAACACAGATTGGATGGGGATGGGAGGAAACGCATGAGGAGCATGGTACAGCAGTATGAACATGGTGTGGTGTGGAAACATGGTTATTGGCAAGGCACGCACGGAGGAGCTCACCTCGTGAGCGCGGCGGCAAACGATACATGCGCGTTTACATGTACCACACGAGCGGAAGACAGCGTTGTGGCGTGCAGGCGGCCTTTGCTCACCTCTTCTGCGCGGCGGCAAAGAACTGCTCGTTGTGGAGAAAGCACACATCGTGCACCGTCTCCCGCACCTGGTGGGTCGCAAAGCAACATGCACACACATACCGATGCACACACACACACACACATGCACAAACAGGCACATGCCCAAACAGGCATATGCACACACACCCATCCACACAATCATGTGCACACAGGACCATATACACAGAGACAAACCAAGCAAGGAGAGCGGAAGGGAGCATACAAGGACAGAGCAGAGCTAGTGATGGTGGGAGAAAAACACAGAAACGAGATGAAGCTAGACACCCTCTGGGAGAGGAACGAGAGGGCAAGTTGACGCAGCCACACTTGCCCGCCCCTCACTTGCCCCTCCCTCGCCCACACACATTCCCACACACGTCCCCACGCACACACGTCCCCAAGCACACACGTCCCACGCACACACGTCCCACGCACATCCCCACAAACGTCCCCTCACACGTTCCCTCTCACATGCCCCTCAGACGCTCCTCACCTGGATCTCGGTGGTGACGTGGCAGCGGCGCCATTCCACGACAGCGAGGTGCCCCTTGCGCCCCCCCAGCAGCAGGCTGCGCCCGTTGAGCGAGTAGGCCGCCTTGTATGGGCCCAGCTCTGATGGGGGGAAGAAGAACAAGGTACCACAAGGGAGTTAGAGCAGGGAAAGCTGGCTCGCGTACGAACGAGCTGGAAAGGGGCTGTTTTGGGTTGAAGCCAGAAGGGGATGTCTCGCAGGTAAGGAAGGGGAGTTTGGCGGGGAGAGAAGGGCAAGGTAGAAAGGAGTGAACGCAAACAAGGGTTGCCTGTGTTAGGAGCCAGAGTTTGATGGAGGGAAGTGATTGAGTTGAGAAGGTACGTAATAAGGTGATCACACACAGTTGGTTCAAGAAGGCCTATGTTACGTACGGTATTGAGAGAGCAGGGAGCGTGGCAGTGGGAGAGGAGAGAAGCACGGGGATGAGGAGAGTTGGACGCAGTTGGGGAGGATTGCTGGAGAGTTGTACCATCCATACCTCCCCCCCACCACACCACCCTCGTGGCCACACCATCCACCCGCTCAAGGTCAAAACACGTGCCCAAATGACCCATGCGCTGCTGCACTGCACTGTGCCTACCAGCCCCTGCCATGCATCACACCCCTTCAACCATCCCGCCCCCCCATCACCACCATCACACCACCAGCATCCCACCACGCCCGCACCTGGCAGCTTGAGGTCGAAGGCAGCTCGTCGGCTGGCGGCGCCCACGTGCTGCACGATGTCGGCCTGAGACACGTTGCTCGTGCGCTCCACCCCCTCCGCCTCCACGTACCCGGCTTCTGACGGCAGCAGCCACTGGCATGGGATGTTGAAGACGAGGTGGGGGGGGGGGGAAAGGGGGAGGGGGAGAGGGGGTGGTGGGTGGGGAAGGGGATGGGGGAGGGGGAGAGGGGGTGGTGGGTGGGGAAGGGGGAGGGGGGGGGGGAGAGGGGATGGTGGGCGGGGAAGGAGGAGGGGAGAGAGTGCAGGTGGGTGTGGGGTTGCCCTCATATGCCGGACAGGTTGCTTGTGCGCTCCACTCCCTCTACCTCCATGTACCCCGCCTCCGACTGACGGCAGCAGCCACTGAAGGGGGTGGGTGGGTGGGGTGGGTTGGGGGGAAGAGGGGAGGGGGAAGTGCAAGGAAGGAGGATTTGAGCATCACGTGTCGGCCTGCGTCAGGTTTCTCCTGCGCACCAATCCCTCCGCCTCCAGTCCAGGCAACCCGCCTCTGATGGCAGCAGCTACTGGGAGAGAGGAAGGAGGGCGTGGAGAGCAAGGGAGTGGGGTTGGGGAAAAGCAGGTGGGAGCAAGAGAGAAGCGCCCTGCACGTCATTCGACCATGCAGTGGAGGACGAGAGGTGGGGGGAGCCGGGGTTTCGGGCATGGGGGACCTTGTAGGGACGGGAACGGAGAGTGGGCAACGAGACGAGGGCAGGTTAGCGGGAGTGGATTGGGAAAGGAGGGCCGGAATAAGATTACAGGAGGGCGAGCAGAGCATGGCGGAGGGCGATTGAGGTGCAGGCAAGGAGGGAGGAGCGCGGGGCGATGGGAAGGAGTGAAGGGGAGAGCCAAGGGAGGGAGGTTGCTCGCGTACCTTCTCTGCCTGGGCAGCCGTCAAGACTCCTTGCCCAATCACCTTCTCCCGATGCTCCATCTTTGCTTTCAATCTGCCCGGGAATTTCTGAGTCGTCGAAAAGGGGGGCCGAGAAGCGGGAGGGAGGAGAGGGAGAACGGGGGTCAGCAGAGAAGATGCACAGACGAGGGAGGAGAGGGAGAACGGGGGTCAGCAGAGAAGATGCACAGACGAGGCGGAAGGAACTAGCGGACGAGCAGGGGAGCCGAGGGGGAGGACGAAAAAGAGGCGCGAAGGGAGGGGGGTGCGAAAGGGATACATGGGGGGGTTTAAGCGAGAGTGGGACCAATGGGGGAATAAATGGGGGGGATGAAGGGGGAGATGAAGGGGGAGATGAAGGGGGAGATGAAGGTGGAGATGAAGGGGGAGATGAAGGGCGGGATGAATGGAAGGAGGGGAAGAGGGGGTTGGAGTTGAATGGGGGGATTAAGAGGGGTTGAAGGTGGGGTAAAGGAGGGGTGAGGGGCGGAGGTCGGATAAGAGAGGGGCAGATGCCATTTCTTGTCGCAGCACCAGCAGCATGAGGAGGCTTGACGCGGAACACCCTCACGACATCACCGCTCTGCACCGCTCACACATCGCCAAAAGAAAGCCGTTCGCGCCCCTCACCACACCTACGACCAACTCTCCACGCCCCTCACCCCCTCCTCCCGCAACAGCCAGCTTCGCCTGCCCCTGTCCACGCCTGTTCACTGCGCGCATCACTGCGCGCATCACTGCGCGCATCACTGCGCGCACCACTGCGCGCACCACTGCGCGCACCACTGCGCGCACCGCGCTCCTCGCTCCGCACGCAACCGCTGCAGCACTCACGCCTCGCATCGGACTTAACCACCTCATTTGTCACCGCACTTGCTCAACCGCAATCGCCCTAACGATCCCCTAGTCCAAGCAGCACCCCCACCACCCGCACGCGCCCCCTCACCCAGCTCGTCACCGCCTCACCTCGGTTTTGACGCACCTCGGTTTTGACGCACCTCGGTTTTGAGCGCCTTGCCGCGGCTGTACTTGCCCATCCTGCCGCGCGTCTCCGCGTCCACGCCATCCTCCCCCTCCTCATCATCCTCCACCTCCCCCTCCTCCACCAATCCTTCCTCCCTCCGCTCCTCGCCCTTCCCCCTCCCCTCGTCATCCGCGGAATCCTTCCCCCACGCGCTCCAGTCCGTTTCCGCCTCCCCGCCTCCAGCCTCTCTCGCCGCCAACCCTAAACCCTGCGCCACGTCCCCTAGACCCCCTGCCGCTTTAAGCCCGGAACCTTGCGCGGCAGTTCCGGCCTTCCCTTTCGTCACTTTCTTCGCTTCCGCGGCATTGCTACCGTCGCCGAAGTACCTTTCGCGACGGTGTGGCGGCTTTCGCTGGCCTTTCGCCATAACTGCTTTCGCCAGTCCCGCCTTCTGTCCATTTGTTTCCCTGACGACAGCCGGCGACGCATCCTGGCCCCCCGTTCCGTCGGACGGCGTATCTTCGGCGTCTGCCATCGCCATCGTAAACTGCTGTGGGCTGAACAGCGAAGCTCTTCGGACGGAGATTGCACGTGACTTTTCGAGCGAACGCTGTTCTCTCGGTGGCGCAAACGCCTCCCTCGTTGCCTGACCTCGTTGCCCGAAACGACCGAGAAACACTGCCTTTGCCTAATGCGCGAACTGAAGTGGGAAACCCAAAGACTCGACAGGCGAAGCAAAGGTGGCTGGAAGGAAAGGATCAAGGGTTTATGCGATTCGCTCAGAAATGAGACACTCTTTATGAACATAACCAATTGTTATCGGTTGGAAACATTGCAAGGAATTTCGCACAAAACTCGATCGAAGAAAATTCGACAATATTCGGTATCCACTATCTGTCATTTTGGTCATGAACCCTAACCTTTCAGTAGCGGGGATTAGGTCACCTCTCGGGTCTGGCCGGCGGGTCACAGCTGGTCGGCAGATCACATCCATCCATCCGTTTCCAGTTGCCGTTCCGACAACGCCCAAACGGTCATTGCTTCACACCAGTGGTTTGGACAAAATCCCCAAGAACCTGGCGCACAAAATTCCCTTGCTCACCCTTCATGGCTGCCTCTCTCCGCCACACCTGATGCGGGTAATGACGCATATGTGGAGCAGAGTGGGAGAATGGCAGTTGCACGTTCAAAGCGGCAAACATACGTTATGGCCCGACCTTGGCGCAACCATAGAAATTTCGTACGGCTGGCTTTAGTTTCTTGCCCCTGCTTCGTCTCATTCGCGCTTGCCCTGATCTTCCTAGTGCCATCACTTCCCGTCGCCTTGACACATCCAAATTTCGCGCAATCATCATTACCTAGAAACGGAGAGAGGCGGCGTTGGACGGCCGGGTTTCGAAATGGCTCGCTCGATTCGCACGCGTCGCACGGATCGCACGCAACCGCCGGATTCGCCGTGGTACTGAGCCATGACGCGGGGGTTGTGAGCAGGCAGGCGGGCGTGGCGTCCGCTCAAGCATAGGGACCCACCGACCCGACCCTCCGACTGTAACACCCAAGGCTATTATAATGGAGTTACAATGCTTTTATAATAAATCTCAATACAAGTTGAAGCTCTAACTAGCTCCCAATAGCCTTGGAGGTGTCAATCTTCTTGAAGGAGTTGTTGAAAAGGCTTGAGAGAATTGTGTAGGAAGTCTCGTGAGAGAGCTCTCAATGACTTAGGCAAAACAATCCCATTTCCAATTGTTTAGTTGGAGTGGGAGGTTGAGAATGAGCTTGCTTAGCTCAGACCCCCTCAATACACCCCTTGGGGAACTATCCCAACCATGGTTTCCATGGTGGGATGGTTCCTAGGCTTGGAGCCTATGTGGCAATTGTGTTGGGTTGGAAAACCCAACTTAGAACCATTCAATAGTTGTGGTTAAGATAGAGTAGATTGTAACACTTGTTTGGCAGTTTATGATTGGTTGGAATTCCAACCTTCAACATTCTCTTGGTTGAGTTGGAAATGTTCCAAACCTCCAAAGTTGAGGCTTGGCAAACCCAAACCAAGTTTCATCCCAACCAACTCAACCATCTTCTCCAACTCTTCCTTTGTCGAGAGAAGTTCTCAACAATTGACTTAGAGAGAGATCGATGGTTGTTAGCTCGGTAGTTAGGGTAATACGTTACACTCCTCCCCCCCCAGGTGGCAACGTCCCCGTTGCCCTAGGGTGCTTCGGAGGACGAGTGCTTCGAGCACGGCGCACCACATTACGACCAGGGTCAACCCCTTCCACTGGTTGTGGGCCTGCTCGTAGAGCCAGGTCTTCCATATACGCTTGAACCGCTGCTTCGGTCAAGTGTTCCTCAGGCTCCCAAGAGTTGTGTTCCGGCCCATAGCCTTTCCACTGAATTAGGAACTCACGAACAGTTTTGCGGCCGCGTTGTCGATCACGGTGCGTTAGCACACGCTCGACTTCGTAAAAGAGTTCCTCCTCGAGAGCGATGGTTGGTGGCGGTAAGTACTTGCCTTCTGCAACGTACTTATTCAACAGAGACACGTGGAAGACGTTGTGAATCTGCAATGTCGCAGGCAATTTGAGCCTATATGCGACCTCACCAACACGCGCGATCACCTCGAAGGGCCAACTCCAACGAGGGAAAAGCTTTCGTGCTCCCGGGATCTTGAGACGAATGTTCTTCGTACTCAGTAATACTTTGTCGCCAACTGCAAAAACGACTTCCCAGCGTTTCATGTCGGCATAGGACTTTTGCCTCTGTTGGGCAAGCTGCAGCCAATGGCGAGCGGACTTCAATGCCGCTTGCTGATTTTCAATAAAGTCCTTTGCGGCAGGGATTTTGAGGTTCTTAATCCCATGCGTCGCGGGGGTTGTGGGGTGCCGACCACAGTTCAGGACAAAGGGTTTCTCATGGGTGCTTTCATGCACAGAATTGTTTACAGCGAATTCCACGACTGGCAACAATTCATCCCAATCGTCCTGAGTTGGGCTTATGAAAGAACGAAGCATTTTCTCAAGAGTGCGGTTGGTCCGCTCTGTCTGTCCATCCGTTTGCGGGTGGAACGCAGACGACATCCTGAGTTTCGTTCCGAGTGTCTTAATGACCTCTTGCCAGAACCGGCTTGTGAAGCGCGGGTCTCGGTCAGACACCATCACACGAGGCAAACCGTGTAAGCGGAAAACGTGCGTCACGAACAACTTTGCAGTATCCTCTGCGGACACGTCAGTCGTCGTGGGCACGAAGTGCACCATTTTGGTCAAGCGATCTACAAACACTAGTATCGCTGTATGACCATCTCGCGTCTTGGGGAGATCGGTGATAAAATCCATCGATACACTCTCCCAAGGTTCATCGGGAATCTCGAGTGGTTGAAGCAAACCACCAGGCTTCTGTGTGCTTGGCTTGTGCCGCGCACACGTGTCACAGCGAGTTACAAAATGCTGGACCTCAATGCCCAATCCCGGCCACCAGTATACATCACTGAGGGCCCACCGGGTTTTCTTGACACCCAGGTGTCCTCCATACTTAGTGGCGTGCACCTCTGCTAGAATATCATTCCGCATGTTTCCTACATGTGGGACAACAATTTCTTTCTTGTGCCACCAGAGTTCATGCTCCCACAAGAGATCCTTTGTATTCTGTGGGTTCCGAAACCAAGGGTCAATATCATACCCTGCGCGAACGCGTTTCAGAAAACCACCAAAGGCAATCTCACTCACTCGAGCAGCTGCGAGGATGTTGAAACAAGCAGCAAACACTGCTTCATGTTCAGTATTATCAACACCCGTTGCTGCACCAATCGGCTGTCTGCTCAGAGGATCAGCCATGTTCGTCGAGCCCGCTCGATATCGAATATCATAGGTGAACCCACTAAGGAGTTCAGCCCATCGAGCTTGACGACGGGTGAGTGTGGCTTGAGTGGCAAAATAGGTGTTCGGACAGTGGTCGATCGTGACCACAAAGTCAACACCTTCGAGATAACATCTCCATGTTCGTAGCGCATGCACAACTGCCAACAATTCTTGTTCGGAAGTTGTATAGCGCTGTTCAGCTGGTGAAAGCTTTCTACTCTCAAATGCCACGGGGCGTCCTTCTTGCAAAAGAAATGCTCCAATCCCTACTGTCGAGGCATCAGTTACCACCTCGTAGGGCTTGGACGGGTCTGGCAAAGCCAGCACTGGAGCATTGGTCAGCATGGTTTTCACCTCCTCAAATGCCTTCTGGCATTGATCGGTCCACTGCCAAGCATTACCCTTACGAGTGAGGGCAGTCAGTGGAGCGACTACGGAGGAATAATTTTCCAAGAAACGGCGAAAATAGTTCGCAAGTCCAAGAAATGATCTGACCTGTCCCACGTCCTGTGGAACGCGCCACTGTTGGACTGCCGCCACTTTCTTTGGATCGACTTTGAGGCCATCGTTGCCTACCAAGTGACCAAGGTATTCCAACTCGCGTTTGTAGAAGTGACACTTCCACAATCGAGCAAAGAATTTATGCTCTCGCAGTTTTCCTAACACCCATTTCAGGTGTTGCGTGTGTTCTTCTTCAGTCTTCGAGTACACGAGGATGTCATCCAAGTATACCAGGACAAATTGGCCAATTGCTTCCCGAAACACATCATTCATTGCTCGCTGAAATGACGCGGGAGCATTTGTCAAGCCAAAACTTAACACACGCCACTGAAAATGTCCGAACGGCGTTCTGAAAGCCGTTTTTGGAACATCTTCTTCGGTGATTCGTAGCTGATGATACCCCTGAGCTAAGTCCAGCGCACTGAACCACTGAGCTCCTTGGAGCCGATCGAACAGATCCTCAATTCGTGGTAGAGGGTATCTGTTCTTCACCGTAATCTTGTTCAAGGCACGATAATCTACGCACATGCGTAATCCTCCGCCCTTCTTGTCAACGAACAAAATTGGTGCTCCGTAAGGGGATGCACTGGGTTCAATCCATCCTTTTCTGAGGTATTCCTCGATCTGTTGTTTGGCCTCTTCGTACTCAGCTGGACTGAGGCGATACAGAGGTCGAAAGGGTGGAACCTTTCCTGGTTCAACAGGGATGGTGTGACCCACTGCGCGGTCAGGCGGAAGTCCATCAGGGATGGTTTCAAACACTTCCTTAAATTCCTCTGCCAGAATTTGCATCTGAGGAGGGAAATTCTCAATTGCTGGCTCCGAGGCCTCAGCATTCTCAAGCTGTACCACGAACAGTGTATCAGCCGACTTAACAGAATGCCCGAACTGGTTGGCCAACACACACAGCACGCTGGGACGTTCAGGCGTCTGTGTTTCAGTGGGCAAAGTATCATTGACTTGCCACTGGATTGCCTTTCCGTTCTTGTTGAACGAGACAATGTTGTACTGGAAGTCCAGAATGACTTCGTTGGCTCGCAACCAATCCATGCCCAGGATGAGGTCGACACCTGACAAAAGTGGTAGGACATACACGCGAACTGCTTCGCTATAGTCCTGTACATTCATGTCGATATGTGTCTGTCCTTTACTTGGAATGACACGATCGTCACCCAAGCGGATGGGACATGACGGTCCTACAACGAGGACGTTGCGTGTCGTAACCCAAGTTTCATCAACAAGGGAGACCGACGCGCCTGTATCGACGAGAATCCTTGCTTCGTCTCCATTCATGCGTCCAGATAACAGTAGATTCTGTTGGAATCTTGGACGGATGGGACAAGCGACAACAAGTTTAGGAGGTCGATAGAACACCCTAAATTTGTTGTGAGCACGTCCAAACCTTTGGGATGTGGTCCACCAAACATGGTGCCCTTTGTCCCATGTTGCCAGGATATGCCATTCATGAAATCGGCGGAACAACTCTCCTTTCACGATTCGAGTCACCAATCCCACTGACGTGAGCGGATGCTCTTGGACACAACGGTCCACAATATCCATGATTGCTGGCAACTCTTTGAACGAGCAAGAGATGATTGAAAATTTATCTCTCAAAAATTCAATTGAAATGTTTTCAAGTGGATACGATCGAGTTTTAAAAATAGATTTTTCATTAATAGAAGAGGCATACAAACAAGCGATTTTGCATGATGCAAGCTTCTCTAGCTTTAGCAAATCCTCATCACGAAGGACATAAGCCTCATCTACTCGATCTCGCTCACCAACTAGGTACCTACCCCCTAGTTGGACTTCGGAAAATCCTTCGGGCCCGAAGGGCCAGAACCATCCGGCTTCTTGCCCTGGTTGGGCTTGCCGGAGTTCTTGACGGACTTCCTCCAACGGCAGTGATAGGACTTGTGCCCGAGCTTGCCACAGATGCGGCAGCCCGCCGGGGGCTTATCCTCATGCTGAGGATCCTTGGCAGGCCCAGCATGGGCCCTCTTGGACTGAGTCCCAGAGGATTCCCCCTTCTGCTGATAGGGCCTCTTCTAAGAGCCACTGCCCCTGTGTGCCTGAGTCCTGTTACCACCCCCCCTAGGGCCTTCGGCACTAGGCTGCTGCTGAGCACGAGCGTGAGTCATGTACGCACGGAAATTCACATCCGTGTCAATGACCTGCTCCTTGCACTCCTTGTAGGTCCTCCACTGGTGCTCCCCACGCACAACATGCACACGCTTGATGTGCTCAGGGAGTCCCTTGAAGAACTGGTGGATGACCTCGCTCTCAGGAAGAGCAGTCTTCAGCAGCGACAGAGTTTTCTCAAACTCCTTGGCGTACTCGCGTACAGGCTGGTCACCGCACTGGATGTTCTCCAGGCGGCTACGCACCTCGAGCGCCGGGGGCTGACTCAGGAATGCCGCCAGCATGGCAGCTTTGAACTCCTCCCAGCCAAAAGGATGGCCATTAGCCTCTGCGTGGCGCTTGTTGGCATACACCAACTTGCTCGCAGTGTCGTCCAGGGCAAGGGTCGCAGCGACCACGCGAGCCTCGCTACGCACATTGTGGATGGACATAAAGTCATCCGCAATGGAGAGCCAAGTCTCAACGTCAGTTTTGCCATGGACAAAACGAGGCAGGGCCGAAGGGCAGGAGCCAAAAGCAGTTGCTGCTGCAGTAGGAGGCTCAACACGTGTTCCAGTGGGAGGGGGAACAGCAGAAGGAGCATCGGCAGGTGCAGCCCGGCTGTTAGCGGCGTAGGCAACTCGCTTTGCTGCAGGAGCAGGCTGGTAGAGGTTTCCACGCCGGATCTCCCTGTACTGGGCCTGAAGCACAGCGATGTGTTTCTCTTGCTTCTTGAGCTGATCCTGCACGAACTGGAGAGTAGTCTGCAGGTCCTGAATGAAGCTGGAGGTGTCGTTCTCCTTAGGGATCGACTGCACCTCCCTGGTCAGCTGCTCAATCAAGGCCTGAAGCTTAACAGAATCAGCCTCCAAGTTCTGGATGCGGCACTGTTGCACTCCAATGAGAATATTCTGCTCCGTGAGTTGAGTCTGGAGCTTGACAGCAATGTTCTCAGTCTCATTGGAAACACCCTCATCAGAGCCAGCCTCATCCTCATTTTCAGCATCAGCCTCAAGGTCAGCTTCACTTCCATTAATCTCCATGTCAACCACAAAGTCCTCAAGGTTGAGATAAATGTCAGCAGCAGCAGCAGCATTATCTCCCTCATTGCCAGCAACGGGCACCTCCTTAGTAGCATCCATCTCTTGACCAGAAGCCATGAAACAGGTTAAGGAGAGGAGATCTCAACAGATCTTATAATAATCTTTAAGAAATCTGATTACCCTTATAGAATAATCCAATACAGAATCTCTTAAGATTGACTTGTTTGCTAAATCTCTCTATCACCTCAATGATAGAGCAAGATATACTCAAAAGAGTAATCCTCAACAAGTCCTTGTGGATCTGAAGATACACTCTTCTACCAAAGGTAGATTAGAGTCTTCCACCAAAGGTGGGTAAGAGAAATGAATCTCTTCAAATTTCTTCACAATGTTGATGAAGAAGGAGAGCTCCTTGTAGATCTTGTAGCTCCAATGGTGGTTTGAAGAAATTGAAGTTGAAGATGTAGATCTTGAAGATGGTTTTGTAGATCTTGAAATTTCTTCAATATCTTCAAGATCTTGATAGCTCCTTAGATGAAATCCTAGATCCACAAGCTAGGATCCTCTAAAAAAAAAAAATCCAAGTAGCAAATGGCCACACAAGGCCAAGGAAGAACCTTGCTCTAGATACCAATGTAACACCCAAGGCTATTATAATGGAGTTACAATGCTTTTATAATAAATCTCAATACAAGTTGAAGCTCTAACTAGCTCCCAATAGCCTTGGAGGTGTCAATCTTCTTGAAGGAGTTGTTGAAAAGGCTTGAGAGAATTGTGTAGGAAGTCTCGTGAGAGAGCTCTCAATGACTTAGGCAAAACAATCCCATTTCCAATTGTTTAGTTGGAGTGGGAGGTTGAGAATGAGCTTGCTTAGCTCAGACCCCCTCAATACACCCCTTGGGGAACTATCCCAACCATGGTTTCCATGGTGGGATGGTTCCTAGGCTTGGAGCCTATGTGGCAATTGTGTTGGGTTGGAAAACCCAACTTAGAACCATTCAATGGTTGTGGTTAAGATAGAGTAGATTGTAACACTTGTTTGGCAGTTTCTGATTGGTTGGAATTCCAACCTTCAACATTCTCTTGGTTGAGTTGGAAATGTTCCAAACCTCCAAAGTTGAGGCTTGGCAAACCCAAACCAAGTTTCATCCCAACCAACTCAACCATCTTCTCCAACTCTTCCTTTGTCGAGAGAAGTTCTCAACAATTGACTTAGAGAGAGATCGATGGTTGTTAGCTCGGTAGTTAGGGTAATACATTACACCGACCATCCCAACGTGAGGTCACCGGCCCAATCCACCCCCATCGATGCGCCCACATCCCCGAAAGACCCTCTCGCGCCCGCTTTCAGGTCCCGCCATGACTGATAAGTCATTTCCGCCATGAATTGGAGCGCATGTGTCTGAAGCAGTTTTGGTTATACCCTGTAGCTGATAATCGGGAACAGAAAGGCTTATACCTCCAGAAAAAAAAACCATCAAGGCTGTGTGTGTCACCCTCAAATGTCGCTTATTGCCCTCATTAAAGCCCCATTGCCCTCACTGCCGCCCCATTAACGCGTCGCTAGACCACTGGGTCCGGTGGTGCCAACACCCCAGTAGGTTCAGGCCCACGCAGTGACCTCAAATGTCGCTGGGCAGCACAGCGACTTCGCTGGTGGGCCACCCAGCGGAGGATCGTTTGCCGGGTTGGGTTCAACACTTGGTTACACCGTTATCGCATTCGAGTTCTCGCTGCGACCACGCAGTTGGGCAAGAATTGTGGCAAGTCGAGCTTCGAGCCCTAGGCTCTGACCGAAGGCTCTGAACCTAGGCTCTGACCATAGGCTCTGACCCTAGGCTCTGACCCTAGGCTCTGACCATAGGCTCTGACCATAGGCTCTGACCCTAGGCTCTGACCCCAGGCTCTGACCCTAGGCTCTGACCCTAGGCTCTGACCCTAGGCTCTGAACCTAGGCTCTGACCCTAGGCTCTGACCCTAGGCTCTGACCCTAGGCTCTGACCCTAGGCTCTGACCCTAGGCTCTGAACCTAGGCTCTGACCCTAGGCTCTGACCCTAGGCTCTGACCCTAGGCTCTGACCCTAGGCTCTGACCCTAGGCTCTGAACCTAGGCTCTAACCCTAGGCTCTGACCCTATGCTCTGACCCCAGGCTCTGAACCTAGGCTCTGAACCTAGGCTCTGACCCTAGGCTCTGACCCTAGGCTCTGACCCTAGGCTCTGACCCTAGGCTCGCCGGTTTCACGCCCGGCTAGACCACTTGCCCATCACTGCCGCCCCATCCTTGCATCGCCCCAGTTGTCATCCAAGCAGGTTCTTTCGTTTCCTCCGTGTGATGTGCTCTACCCATTCCTCTGTGCGCTATTCTCCCCTACCCGCTCTTGTGCTCCACTCGAACTGTGCACGTGCGTGTGGGACTGCATGGCTGGCGGCAGTGCGAGTGCTGGTGGAGCTGAATGCGGCGCTGCATGGGTGGTCGGGGAACAGCCGCCTCTCCCGCCATTGCAGCCAGTGGGCCGGTGTTACGTGCAACCACAGGGGCCTCGTCACTGCCATGTATGCCGCCTCGTCACTGCCATGTATGCCGCCTCGTCACTGCCATGTATGCCGCCTTGTCACTGCCATGTATGCCGCCTCGTCACTGTCATGTATGCCGCCTTGTCGCTGCCATGTATGCCACCTCGTCACTGCCATGTATGCCGCCTCGTCACTGCCATGTATGCCGCCTCGTTACTGCCATGTATGCCGCCTCGTTACTGCCATGTATGCTGCCTCGTCACTGCCATGCCATTCCACGCCATGCTTGCTTCCTCCCCATGTATGTCACTGTAGTCCCCCTGCCTCGTCACTGTCATGTCACGTCTGCTGTATGTATCCCCCCCTCCTCGTCATGGCCATATGTGGCGCGTCCTCCACCCCGTTCCCCTCCCCTGTCTCGTGTCCCTCTTCCCGCCGCCCTCTCCCGTGTGGAGCGTGTCGTGTGTGGTTCCAAATCCAAGAGCCTGCCGTTATACCTAAACGTGCATTCCAACGGCCTTATCTCCATTCCAATTCCGTTGTGCCCCCTCACGTCACATCACTTACATCCTGTTCTGTGTCCCTTCCTCCTGCTCCTCCCAAGGCAGAGACCTGTCAACTGCCTCTGTGTTGGGCAGCCTCCCATCTTCTCTCAGCCGCCTCGCTCACCTCACCTACCTGTCAGTACCCTGCCCTGCCATGCTCTGCGTTCTCATACCTAGCAGCATGCGCGGAAATTTCCTCTCAAGTTGCAAATTACTAATGGCACCACTGTTGATTCATTTCCTTGCAGCTCGACTCTTTTCATTGACGGCTTACCAGCAGGCAACGCCTTAAGAATCTGCACATCGTCATACCTGCATGTAGCTGCCTCACACGCCCCCAAAAATCTCGAGAATTTTCGTCACCAATTCAATTGCGTGCATCAAGGGCTCAAGGCAAACTGTTAGCGGTGGCAAGTGTCCTTCGGAACTAGAATTCAGGGACAGCCAAGCGGAATCGCAAAATCAGGATTCCCACTTCTTTTCTCCCTCCCATAGTCTCCTTTAGGGATGAGCAAAAAAACGAACACCTATTCGGTTCGCCTCGAACACAGGTTAAATTTTTGGGCTTAAAGTGTTCGCCGAACAGTGTTCGATGTTCGCCCGAACACGTTCGTGTTCGGGCCGCTGCTGCAATTTGCCCCTAGACGAACACGAACGTGTTCGAGGTTCGCCCGAACACGCCTTCATAGGCGAACGGCGAACACCTGTTTTTGCTTAAGGTGTTCGCCGAACCGAACAGTGTTCGGTTCGCCGAACAGGGGTGTTCGTGCATGGGCGAACGCGAACACGTTCGTGTTCGCCCTTTGCTCATCCCTAGTCTCCTTCATACCGACCTCCTCCCCCCCTCCCCCCCCCACCCCTGATTCTGTTTCGCACCGTACCCCTCCGCTACCCCATCCCCCCATCTCACCCCCTCATCCCGTGTTGATTCGATCAGCAATATTGGTTCAGCAAATATCACGGGGATTGTGGAGGGCCTTTCATGGATCTCAAGCCTCACCAACCTGAATGCACTGTACGGCTTGCATGCACAATTTGACATGGCTTGGGAGTGTGGTGTTGATCCGGGCGAAATGGTTTGAGCCCAGCTTGGGCTCATTCAAGGCAAATAAAACGGTCTGGTTCTGCTCATGTTCAATGAGCGGAGTGACCCTGTTAAAAACCCTAATTGCGCTCTGAAGTGTATCCTCCTAGTTGATGGTTCTCCCATGTTGCCCTCTTCGAATCATGTCACACAAATTAAGACACCGCTCATGCTGCCCACCGTGGGCCCCCCACCCGCAGGACCACACCCGCGGCACCACACTAGGGTGATGGCGGGCATGAGCAGCATGGAGGGGGATCTATCGGGTGGAGGTCTCTCATGAGAGTGGAGTTTTTCTGTTGCTCGGTGCCCTGTGTTCCCCCCCATGGACCCCGGTCCCCCTCCCGCGATACCACACCAGGGTGATGGCGGGCATGAGCAGCATGGAAGGGGACCTATCGGCCCTCACGTTTCTCACTTCTCTTAAAGCCTTGCAAAGCCTGTAACGTGGTTTAAAAGGGTATTGTAGGCCTCCCGTTCCTGTGGGCTGTCCGCTCCTGCAGTTTTGTCCACCGTCCTTCCCGCTCTTTGATTTGTGGGTGTATTTACGCTTTGCAACAAAACATATTTATGCATGTTTTGGAGAAGCATTGTACGAAGGGAATGGATTGGGCAACGATTGCAAAATTTTTGTAGCCATACGCAGTACAGTAGTATGTATGTAGGTGTCATGTCATTTCAGAGCCAACGCCGTCTCGCTTTCGTCATATTGGTTCGCTCGTTGCTTCACCACATGCATCTCACTCACGCCCAACTGGCTCTAGCCAATGGCCTCCCTCCCTCGTGTTTGTCACTCGTGCAGCACCGTCTCAAACGTTCCATGGACGGGGGAACTTCCAGCATTGCTTGCCACGCTTACCTCCCTCACCTTCCTGTAGGCTCTCGAATTGAGTTACACTCCAATCTCTCCATCGTTATATCCGTGCTCGGCTCAGCCATATCACTACTTCACTTC